ACCACAATGCCCATTCCCCATCCCCCTGCGCCGCTCGGGTGGGGAGGGAGAGAAATTGGGACCGATGTTGAGCCTGGATGGGAAGACGGGAGGTGTGGGGGGAAGATGCTTTAAGATTTGGTCTTATTTCTCATTATCCTACTCTGATTTTGATTGGCAATAAATTGAACTAATTTCCCCCAGTTGAGCCCATGACAAAAAACTGCTGAATGATCCATCCCTGCCCTTATCTCGACCCACAAGTTTCTCATTGTGTTTTTCTCTCCCCTGTCTAGCTGAGGAGGGGGAGCAATAGAGTGGCTTTGGTGGGCACCTGGCATCTAGCCAAGGTCAACCCACCACAGAGTAACAAGCAAACAAACAGGATTAGAAATGCAGGGGGGCAGAGAGAAACACGACGACTCACAAAGCGTGAAGAGTTGTCATTTCTCACAGTCTTGGCATTCCCGAAGGCCTCCAGCAGTGGGTTAGCACTGATGATTTGATCCTCAAGCGTACCCTGTGAGAATATTTGAATAAGTATTGAAAAACACCATGGACTATGTAGTATGAAAAAGTGACTGCATTGCAGCTCGCTTGATTACATGTGCAACCACGTGCCCTTCGTTCAGCACGTACAGCATTACTTTAGCATCTTCTTGACTACAGTGCCAAGAAGCAGCACTGTGTGTAAATGGTAAACAATTCATTTTTCTCTCATTCAGAACTTCTCCCATGGTCAGGGCAATCATCTCTCAGCCACAGGGACTCTCTGGTCCATGTGAAGAAACTGGAGCTTCCGATTCTTCCTGGACACAATCCCCCAGACCTGGTTTCAGGCAAGGTGAAGCTACACCTGTGCAGTGACAGTGGCAGCTCTGGAGGCTTGTATTTGTTGTGGTCCTGACTGCATATCAGCCCCTGGTCTTACTGCATTTTGAGAGAGTGGCTGAAGCTAATAAAAGGTATTTCATATTTTAAGGTAAATGTTTGTCACCAGTGCTTTCTGCAGCCACAAGCTGATAACACCTCAAACTGCCCCTCTGCCAAGCTTTTCTTCCCCACACCTTCATCCAGGACTCTTTCTTCTTGGCTAGGTCCCCACTGGCTGCAATCGTTGCAAAGTACTGGATGACACGCTTTGTGTTCACAGTCTTCCCTGCACCGGATTCTCCACTGTTGAAAGAAAGCACAGAGTGAAGAATTAGCTGCCCACTTTTTGTTGGAGATAAAGTTCAAAGTGAGAGACGTACTTACGTAATCAGGATAGACTGATTTTCACGATCTGTCAAAAGGAAAAATAAGTGCAGTCAGAGGAGCTGTAGGGC